CAAGAGCCAATCTTGGCACACATGGTTACGCTGACTTGTTAGTCAACATAATAGGCCAACTCTCAAGCTGAACTAAATCCCATATTCTGCAACAAATTTTTAATCGGCATTCTGCAGACATGCTTTCAAAAGAGATTATACTTTAATCCTTCTATAACTTAGAGCAGTGTTTAATAAGCTTATCATAAATCAATAGTGAAAACAATGTGCATAACAATTTTTTCCATGAAAACAGATCAACCTAAAGCAAAGTATGAGGCTCAGTTCAACAATGACAAATAAGAAGTCTTTGCTCTTCTTTATATAGGCCTATTTTGAGCATCATTTGTGATTCAACCAAGTTAGCACTCGCCATTATGTATATTGACAGCATTTCTTGGAAATGGGAAAGAAATGGATTATGTGATCCTTATGCAAATCAAGACATATGTAGAATCCAATTCAGCCAATTTCTTCAGAATCTGACTTGCCTGTATGTTGAAAACTCTGTTCCAGAGTTTCCAAGGCAGCAGTGTCTGATACAGATCATAAACAATTTCTTTCTTTGTAATAAGCTTGAAAAAATCAGAAGCATAAATCATAATGCAATCTTATCACATACAGTTTGCAATGCATAACCTCCAATGATGAGGAATTGTCCACATAAAATGCACCATTAAAATAATGAACTAAATGATGCTACAAAATTATTCCTGTGACCCCTCTGACCTGAAAAATTACTTGAAAAGTACAAACTGAAAAGTTCAATGAGTCAAAAGCATAACGACCAGGTTATTCTTGGATCAAACAAACACAAACTTGAAAACCAAAGACTGGATTCTGCTTTTCTATCTGTGTATTTCAAATAAATCACTCCACTATTTCATTTTTGAGCCTATGAAACAAAATGGTGTATTGTGTTTGTTCCAATTCAGTCAAGCAATGAAGAAAGTGAAAGGAAGCTTTATTTTGGGTAATGACTAAGTGACTAGAAGCACTTTTTTGCCAAGGCAATAATATGACTGGTTCATTGCCAACCTTAATATTCAGAAAATGAAGCTAAAATTAGTATTGTATTTAGAGGTAACCTATAAAAAGTTACAATAATAGAGAAAAGCTCAATTTGGATGGAAGTACAAGTTCCTCCGAACATTTGCAATGGGTAGCAGCACAGTTCTCACTTCTTCACAGATTATATCCGTTCTACTCTAAATACTTCAACTGGAAAAATGAGACAAAGGCAAGCTGTTGCTCTAACTTATAAGCTAGTTTTGTAGTGCATAATAATATGAGTTATACATAACATGCATGAATGGTAATTGTGACAATTACTAATGTTTGTAAATTAAAGTTTATAAATACAAGTAAATAAGCAAAAGCGGACCATATTGTCTCCCAGAATGAGTTATTATCTGAGAAGTTCTAACATTAGCTGAGGAGCAAGACTTGCAAGCCATAAATTGATGAGGTCAGTTTGCTTATTCTGTTCAATTTATATCATTAATGTAAATCAAAGCATTAAGCTACCAGACCTTCCTTAATCAAGAAACCCACAGGCTATTACACTGAGTACCAGAGGAAAGAAAATGCAGATCATAAAAATCTAGAGCCACTTGTTACCATAAGGTATGATGGACGCATAAGCAGGTCCTAACATATGTTATTTGTCTATATTCGTGGATACTCTATGCTGATTCAATATAACACATTTGTGAAGTGTAAAGATGGATTCATTAAGGACTAACAATAACATGCAAAGTCAATATACCAAGTAATGCGTAGTTATTATGGTATTGAGAGCTAAAGTATCCAGCTCTAAATAAAGAAAAACTAGCTAAAGTATCAAGCTCTAAATAAAGATGCAATCTATACATCAATTTTCTCACTTTTTGGCACACTTTGTGCGCTTAATTTAAAGCCTAAAATTATCAATTAAGATCCATGCAGAGATATATTTAACTGTTAATGAAATTTAGAATAATGTGTACTAATGACTGCAGTAGTAACTAGGTTAGAAACTTATGGCTATAAATGGAGTTATCAAATGTAGGACTAATGAGCAAATTCATTTGCAAATTTCACTTGCCGCGTTATTGCTGTAGTAGAAAAAGAACAACCTCTAAGACGGTGATGATCAAGTGCAAATAATTTCAAAGTAGTCCTACAGTCGAACAAAATTCTGACAAGATAAATAAGATAAGAAACTGATCACTGGAATCTCAATACATTGACTGAAACAAGCAGATTACAGGAACCCAGGAGCTAAGACAAAATAATGTAAAAACAAGTACCCCATTCCACGTATCAACGACCTGAAATTGAACATTGAACACCACAGAAAAATAACCAATTCACATATATAAATGTCAAAAGGAAACGATATGAATCCATTAACCAATAGCAATCTTGTTCTTGAAAGATAACTGTAGCAACATGAAGCTTATACAACGATTTAGATCATTGGCATCCATATTTGTCGATCTCTACAAATTTTCGTATGTAGAAAAGATCAATTTGATACCAGAGAAGCAGAAGCAGCAATCAAAATCAGACCTTAATACTCAACCCGATCGGTCCGCCCCGCTTAGCCGCCCACGGGTGCGCCGCTTCCATGGCTGCAGCACGGAATCCTGGAACCTAGAAGGCATTGTTAGTGGCCTCCGCTTCCTCGTCCGCTTGAGACCAGCCTCGACTCCACCACACAACTCCTCCTCCCTCTTCTCGACTCTCTCCGTTCTCCCATCCTCCTTCCCGACTTCATTGCTCCGAATGCGCCCCGAGTCCAAAGCTCCGTCTCCAAAGACTTCCATGGCGGCCAACACCAAGAGATCAAGGCCTTCGCAACGACCCGAGGAATCAATAGGATGAGGAAAACTCGACGGAGGAGACAGGGACAGGGCGGGATTAGAATTGGGAATGGAGCTCAAAGGCGAAGCCTTTGAGGCTCGAACTCTCATTTGGAACAATATCTGGGATTGGAAGATCTGATAAGAATCGGTGCAGAAGAAAGATGAGATTTTGGAGATACCAACTGGATTGAATTGGGTGAGTGGATTGGAGAACGAGGCCGACGGACATGAAAGATTGAGAGAAGCAGGGAAGCGAAAGGGAGGAATAGATGGTTTGCTTCGTTTGTTTCATGGAAGGGTGGAAGCGGCAGCGCAGTCTCGGTGTGGAATTGCTTCCATTTTATGCACGTTTGTGGAAACAAGAAACGGATTTCCGCTCTCAGTCTATTTCAGATACGCTAAAAGCAGACGAAAATTAATAAATGAGACTGTGATGGACAAAAATATTTCTTTTTTTTTTTACTGATTTTTCGGGAACTATCAAAGGTCGTGGCTTTTCTTTTTGGTTTTTTTTTTCTTGCCACTACAAGTACTTGAAAATTTTCTTTCTACTGTTCATAGTTTGCTGATGGTATCTTTCAATTTCCCATACTAGATTTATTACCTAGAGGAAAAAAAAAAGAAGGTATTTTAGTTATCTGAACTTAATTTGATACTAGATTACTAGATTACTAAGAGACAAGTATCCCAAATTTATCTAAATTTGATAGGTATATGAACTTAAATATAAATGTGTTAAAAATCAATTTTAGTTATGGATGGTTTACTCGTATCTAAAATAATCTTTATATTTTTAAAAATATAGTATATAAGCTTTTCCCATCAAATCTAAGTTAACAGATATTAGAGTATGGTATGTTGACTCACAATAAATCATTAATATAATGACACGTGTAATTTAAGATTAAGATTCATTTTAGCTCCTATAGATTTGGTTATAGACCTCTTAAGCCCTTATAGTTTACTGGTGTTTAAAATAACCTCTATATTTTAAAAAACGTAGCACAAAAGTCTCTCCCGTCAAGTCTGAATTAATAAATGTTAGAGTTTGCTTACGTGGCATGCTAATTCACATTAAACCATTAATATAATGATACGTGTAATTTAAGTTTTTAAAAAAAACTAAAACCTCTATCAACAATAGGAGAATGCGTTGTTATGGAAGCGACTATCAACAACAGCACCGAGTCGTTGCTACCTAGCGCGGCGTCGTATGCACGCAACCTCTCTTGCGCTAACAAGCTCAAAAGCTTTCGATCATACTTCATGTGGATGTACGTTAACCTATTTGATGCTAAACAGGTAATAATCTCTTGATCCCTCATTATATTAATTATTTATATGAGTCAATATGCCACGTAAATAGACTCTAACGTCTATTAACTCGGACTTAACGAGATGGGCTTATATGCTATTTTTTTTTGAAAATGTAGAGATTATTTTAGACACGAGTAAACCATAACGGCTAAAAAGATCCATGGTCGAAATCACGCTAAAATGAACTTTAATCCTAAATTATACGTGTCATTATATTAATAATTTATTATGAGTCAGCATACCACGTAAGCAGACTCTAACGTTTATTAACTCAAATTTAACGAGAAAAACTATATTTCTTTTAATAAAAAATTATTTTAAACACAAGTAAATCATAAGGACTTAAAAGATCTATGACCAAAACCACGGGCTAAAATAGATTTTAACCGAATATAAATCCGAGTCAAATAAATAATTTGTTTATCCAAATAACATTCGAATATATTAAAAAATGTTACCTATATTTGATCTCCTAGGATCGAGATTAACTATATATATTTAAAGCTTAAGCATAACATAAATGTTAGGAAACTTAAATGCCCGATTGTTATATATAATTTAATGTTTAACCAATAAATGCTTTTGATGTGACATCAGGAAGACCATGGTTCAGATCACGGCCAGACAGAGAACAAATATTTGAAGTTTGTTCATTTGAAGGTTTACAAATAAAACACAGTTTCCCCTGACGTAGATTCATAAATGGTAACTCTGTTTTACAGTCAAATGAAAAAGAAGATGGATATCTCAGTATATTTCTATTCAGCAAGTAAATAATAAGAACCAATACGTCAGATTAAATATACAAATGACAGAGGATGAACACTGTTCAATAACGAATGGCCAATTCCACGGTGAGACATAAAGCCAGCTATGTAAAGGCTAGATAGAGTGCATGAAGTTGTACATGATTAACCTGATTACATAATTAGGAAGTAACAAGTATCCTATGGGAAGCAACTGGTAATAAATGTAGACACATTGCAGCAACACAGGATCCAAAAATCATTACAATACGCTTCTAATTTACAACTTTTGAAGCGTATCTTACACAAGGAAACCAACTACACTACCAAAGAATCTACACTCTTTTGAGGAATGACACCCTAGAAAAGGTGTGTACGTATTTGGAAGAGGAGAGGTTATGTTAGTAAGAACATATCTATTTATTGCATCACCATATGGCAGCCCACTAGCACAGTAAAAGTCCGAAACCTAAAAAGGAATCAAGAAAGATGTCACCAATTCTGCAGCTGAGAAGCAGTACTTTTCACCAACGGATGGTATTCAGTGTGCAAATACTTTCTTGCCTTCTCTGAACCAGGTTGTCCAAGCCACTCATCATACAATCTCTTCACAATTGGATTATCAAATGGGTCTGCAACTTCTACCTGTAAGTGGATGAGGTACCATGTCATAGATGAAAGAAAACACCTCAACCAAATTACGAGAATGTAAATATATCTTTTGCAGATGAGGGACCGTGTCCTGCACAGGGGAACTTACATCTTGCATATACAAAGTTTCTAATAGTTGAATAAGATCTTTTGCAGATTGACCGTTCTTTGGTTTTATTTGACCACCGCCATTTAAGCAGCCTGATGATGAGAAATCAAACATGGTTAAGCTGTGTCAGTCAGACTTCTACTTGAGCAATGCATTGCAGATGATAGCAAATATAGCATACCTGATGGACACGCCATAACTTCTACAAAATGATAATCACACCTCCCAATTTTAATCTTCCTTACAATGTTCTGCAGATTTCGGAATCCATAACACTGTGCAAATTTCAAAACTGTTTTACCATCCACCTGCGAAATGACAAATAGGATTTTAAGAATGTAAGCTTTTAAAGAATCAAAACAATTAAGGAGTAAGAGTTTTGAATTTGAAACATACTTCTAGTGCCACTTCCCGAAAATCTGAATTGCGGATATTTCTAAATTCAAGTGGTCCTTGAATTTCTACCCCAAAAAGTTTTTTAGCAGCATGGCGAAAAACTGTTTCTGCGAATCCTCCAGAACCACCTGAGACCCCATAAAGATGCCCTCCATCGTCAACATTGCTCAACCTGATAAAGATGATGATTGTAGAACAATTTCAGTATCAATATAGCTGACACTAAATGATAATCATTCATATATTTACCAAAGGGAAAGAAGCAATTTTACGGACATGCCAAAAGTACAATTTATCTGCTAACTACATTAAAAGAAACACTAGATATTCTAAAATAATCTTTTTACTGGTGATAACATGTCTGTAAAAGCAGGGCCACTCATTCCTCAAAGAGCCACATAAAAAGTAAAGGTTAAATCCACGAGTGAGCATGCAGAAATACACATGCATACTATTATCATATTTAAGCAGGACATCAAGAAGATTAAAAGCATAAGAGCCTTACATGCTATCTAGAGGAGCTTCTTTCAAAGCCTTGAAATCAACAGACTTTGACTGCATCAGAAAGTCAAAAAGTTACGAGAATTTTCAATGACTAATACGATTCAGAAAATAGATACTGACAGGATGATGTATGAAGTATCCCAAACCTGTATCAAGTCTAAAACTTCTCCAGATGTCAAAACTGAATCTACCTCTGGTATCTTCATAACCGAGTTGGCATGCCCATTTTCTCCCTCATCTACTGAAAAGGAAAATTCATCCCTCGCAGCTTCAAGCTTTTTGTCATAACAAGGCATCACAGTGACATGATAGACATTGTCTGGCCTACTGGACATGCATAATTGGTTAGATAGTATGTTTGCAAAGCACAATGAAAACTTGTTTACTGTAGCATGAATAGCGTAAACAAAGTTGGTTAGTCAATCTTCACACGTTCAGCAAATTAATTGTCGGGACATTATGGCTTCTTGTTGTTGATGATGTTGTCATTGTCAATTAAACCACAGGATCAAAATTGGAAGGTCCTAACAAGCTTCCGCAAAAGCCACTCATGGAGATAATTACTCAGATAAAGAGCAACACAAGTTCTTTAGAAAGATGAAGAACCGACATGGTTTTATGTATCAGAAAGATGTAGCAGAAATTGCATAAATTTGAACTTTATCATAATATGATGACACGTTGTTGGCCAGTCATGAAGATAACAAAAAACACAGGTGGAGAAGGAAGAACACCACTATATGTGTCTTTTGATAGTAAAGACGCTATTTTGCTCCTTTTATGTATTGACTACCAATAGATACATGGATGCCATACTTTCTTTCTCATATAGGAACCAATCCCATAGGTGAACTCAAACTATATAGTCAACAAAATATATCTATTTCGCTCCAATTAACAGGCCTCCAGAAATATCACATGAAAAGAGTTATCTTTGCAACAAGATGAAATTATCTACATAAGAATGTTGCTTGATATGCGTGCATAAAAGAAAAGCTTACTTAAGACCCAGTTTTTGCACAATGTGATGCTTGATAATAGCTCCAATAGTTTGTTGGGGACTCTTCACAGATGAAATATATGGTAAGATGTATGATCCAAGTGTTTTTTCAGCATAACAAATCCAACCTGGACATAAAAATGATCATTTAACATACATGTTATAAACATCAAAATAGCGGCCTCAGCAATAATGATGCAATATCAGTGAGCACAACTGGCTTTAAATTGCAATGCCTATGGTTGCAAATGCAACTATTTACAAATATATATAGAAAGCAGACATTACTACAACAAATTCAAAGATCGCTGACTGAACAAAGCTTATAAATGACAAACTCAGAAAGCAGCAACACCTCGAGCTAAAACACGTAAAAAATTAGTAGACTCTGTACCAAAGAAAAATATGTCATACATCTATGAGATATAGGCAGTGCAGTAAAGCTATTGGATTAGTTAGGAATCTAATAGTTAATAATAATAATAATAATCATTAAGGTGTGTGCAATAATGCAGGATTGGTGATCGAAAAAAGTAATACATGCCGAGAAAAAGGAGTTAACTTCTGCAACTATATTGTTCCAATGTGCCTGGAAGGCTTTTGACATCAGGAATACACCTTAACAATTCTTACTCATTTTACCTCTTGCTTTTTGAAGGTATTTTTTTTTTCTTCCAATCAAGTATTTTGAGCATTGCTTGCTACCAAGACCCAACACTGAGGGCCTTGACACTGTTGGGCTTTTGAATTTTTAGGATTGCATTGGCCTGCAAAGGATAAAACTCAGACCCGAAATAAATATTATAAAAATCCTTTATAACTTAAATGATTGGTTCAAACCCTCAAGTTCTTTCACCTGCCTAGGGTTTATGTTGTAGCTGACTGAGGAAGTAGAAAATCAGGTGTGGGAACTGGCACCAACAATCTGTACTTTGAGCTAAGATTTGCCATACCAGGGCATACCGCTCATTATGGTTAGTACATACCAATTTATTAGTGCATCTCACCATACCGTGTAACAATACAATGGTATGGATCGATACGTATCGTATCGATGGTTGGTCGATACACCATTACATATCAATAAAGCGAACCATGCTTTGAGCTATTAGAGTCAAAGTTAGCTTACTGTCCACAGATTACTGATCCTATTCTCAGCTGCAAAAATAACTCAGATTACACTCAAGACAGTTCACAAAATCTATACTTGTCTTTTAGATTTTAGTTTAAAGATTTATAACATAGTACACTCCTGTGATTTTTGGATTTAGGTCCTGCATGAATTTTAAATGAAAAACAAACCAAACACATGGCCTTGAAGAATAGCACAAACAATGAAATAAAGAAATATGCCACCATGATACATCATACAAGCATTAAGATTATGATTATTTAAAACAACTATTGTTAATGAAGAATTTACCTGGACATGCAGAAGAAAGAATGGGGAGATTTTCTCCACATTGTTGCTGGTACCGTGATATAAACTCATTACATGACTCAATGAGTGACAAATCTCGACTACAACTAGTATCATAAACAGCTTTGACTCCCAAAGATTTAAAGAATGTGGTTAGTTTCCTGAGAACCTGAGACGACATAAAGTAGTACATGTGTTCATTGCAATGTTAAATGGAAAAGGATCAAGATAGCATAAATTAACACTTGAAGTAAATCATATACAATGTGACTGCTGGAAAAGAATTGTTTTTCATGTTGAGCAAGGATTTAAGAAATGGAAGTTGACTCCAAAGACCAAATAAAGTTTGTTTTTTATTCTTTTCATTTTTTTCCATTTTTATTTGTTTTTCCAATACAAACTTTAAACTTTATTTACTTAACATATTCATCTTAAAGATCTAAAGATCCTTTTCCTAAAACTCATCTTTTAGCTCTTTGGTGGTGTATGCACTGTACTTTCCGTATGTCACATAACAATACATGATAAAGCTTTTCGGCCGAGGTTGGGTTTCCTCCATTAGCAGAGTTCTCTCATCTATCATGTTTAGGACCAAACAAAACAGGAGAGTAAAGCTTGCTAGGAAATCAGAACATTCAAGAAAATCTTCTTCAAATAAGAGATTCATTCCCTTTTCAAAAGCCCAACAATTAAATGGTTAAAAAAGCAGTTCTGAGGAACTTAAATTAAATGGTCAACTAAAAACTTAAAATATGGAGTTCATTAACACCAACACTTTTACCTAGTTTGACTCTTTGGAATTTCTGGAGCATATGTTAAGATGCTCAGAAGAAAGAAATAGGGTAATCAAAGTATGATTACCCTATCAATGAAGGAAAAAAAGAGAATTAAGTAGTATAAAAACCTGGGACGGAGAGATATCAATATAAGCAGCTAATGATGCTCTTGATTGGGGAGAGATGGAAACGATAACAGTATCCCCAGACTTGATGTGAGCCAAAAACTCATCCAGACTTTGCTTCTCAAGCATAATGGTCTCTGCTGAAGTTATGCAGCCACTGGAAAATCAAATGAAACTTCTAATCAGCCATAAAAAAATTCTAGCACAAGGAATTACAACTAAATAAACTACAGCCAATCAGCAAGTCAAGTTTACAACTTTTCACTAGTACTTGGTATTATTAATTGTAGGTATATTCCACATATATTCAAAACAGACTCTAAAGAAAAAAAAATTGCAACACAATGAGGAGAATGAAAATTATTAATACCATTAGTAATCACCATGAATTGAATTTGCAGTAAACTTCTCGGCTTAAATGATATTTATTGATACTTTGAGAGCAACAACAATAATCAATAACAGAGAAACACAGTAAAGATAAAGAATGTAGCAAAAACAGTAATAATAATTACCAAAACCAGATCCAAAATGTTCTTCTACAAGAAATGAGAAATCATATGAATTGTTTAAAATAACTAGTATCTTCAGCATAGTACATCCTTGCATTACTTTCTTGACCAATTCATCAAATATATCTATATGTTTGTGCTGCTCATGTGATATCCTATCAGACCCTCACTTCAACAAAAAGGCTCATACAAGATGTTGTACATGCTTCAGCCTATATGACTCTCTTTTGGCTATCTATAGCTACAATGAACTCTTTGTTTTAGTTTCTTATCCTTCTCTATCGTAGAACAAGCATATTAGTTGCTTACTTTGAGAATCCCAAACATAATCCCACAGTAACATAGATTTTCCATTAGTTATCCTTAGTTGTTTTAACTTTTTCCAATGTTATCAACTACTAGTCTACCTCGAGAAACTAGATCATATAACATGAGACATGGTCAGTATCGTTCACCTTTTTTATTTTTTATTGTTCTCGATCGAATTATTTGAAAAGGCAGAAACACTGCAGAAAATTTTCAGACTGATCTAAAGGAATTTTAAAAAAAAACAAATGTTATATAACAAAAGGATGTATTTTACTTCATAGGTTGCACTTTTTTCTGCAATACATAATGTGAAAGATACTGATAATGTATTTAAAATAATAGCAAGTACCTGCATGCCAAACAGTCCTTGAGTGAAATTTTAACAGCTTCAGTTTGTGATGGTTGACTAATATATCTTGCTTTCTCCTGGCTCTGCAAATAATAAGATGTAAGCAAAATTACAGAAGCCAATAATACAATTGATTAGCTAAGCAGTTGGTCATCCACATTCAAGCAATTTTTTCCAAAAAATTTCTGTGAAAATGGTTGCATTTGAGGTATTACATCACAAACACAAAAGGCTATATTTATCCACTATGACAATTCAAATCATGGTTGTTGTATGATAAAAAAATAAGATGTAGCTCACCTGACAATAAATCTTGACAATTATTAAGGTAGATAGCTTTTACTAGAACCTAAATGGAATTTGTCTTGTATTAGATTTTTCATTTTATGGAGCATACATCCACCTCCATTCAAATAGTCTTTACACCAAATACACTAACTTAAACCTAGCCTCGTGAGACATTTCTTTCCGATGGATGTACAGCCTAACATCTCCTACTGGACCTATGACACTACTCCTAATCCTTTTTTCTACCAAGTACAGAATATATATTACTTAAAGCTTCTAGAAATAGGTACCTAATTTTGTAAATGACACAGTTAAGCCATAGTTAGAAAACCACTAAAAGATCTTTTCCTTTCTACCAATCCTAGCTTGCATGCTCTTCGAAATAAACCCTCTCCAAAAGGTGCTCATTTGCCATTACAAGCAAAGGGCATTGGATCAGCATGCTTACATAAGGCATTTCGGGGTACAAATTTCGTTCACCATATCCCAAATACAATTAAATAGCTGCTCACAGAATGTATATAAAGAAGAATTTAAGGAACTACGAGAAAAAAAAGAAGGTAAGAGTTGCAATCACTACTCATCTTCGATATGGCGAATCAATACAAGCTAGGAAAGAAAAGAATAGGGCACACAACCAGGATATAAGGTACGCAACAAACGCAACGAATGCGTTCGATAATCTGCAAAACCCCAAGAAGGAACCCGTACCTCTGCTTTGCCATGCTTGGACTTCACGGTTTTGAGCGAGACGATGCAGTCCTGTGATGGCGCTATGAAATCGTTGAGATCCGCGAGCCGCAGCGCCGGCGAGAACTTATCCGACATCTCCGGCGCAACAATCCGCCGATCGATCAAGGAATCAAGGAAGACGGAAACAAGCCAAGCAATTCGACCGCGAATAGAGCGTCGCCGGAATCCCCAAAAGCAGGCAACAACGAGAGGAAGAAATCGAAGTACGCGTCGCTCGCGAGGAAATCGCCTCGGATAAATTAGCGGTCTGAGGGGGCAAAAAGAGAGGTGTTGGAGACTATAAAGCACCAAATGGAAGCGGTCGCGGAGTCGCGGTTGGGTTTGCGGCCGTGATGTGCTCGACCCAAAACTATATATATATATATATATATATATATATATATATATATATAATTTATTTATTTGTATGTGTGTGTACATAATGTTGTATTTTTCATATTTGCCCCTCAAATTTTTAGTTTAGCAACAAAATTAAACATTTGAAATATACGGCTAGTAAATTAATTGTTTTTTATTTTTATTTATCTAAATTTAAGTTAAAAATGATTTGGTAGATTTAAGTTAAAAGTTAAATCTAAAATTAATATATATTTTATACATTGGATGATTTTCTTTAAAAACATTTCTCAAAAATATTCCTATTTTAATTTTTTTTCAATGGTACATTTGTTTCATATAATATCCAAAACACTGTTGCATTACACCCAATTGTTCTATTTTCACCCGACATAAAACACCATATAGACCATTGGTCATAATATATGATTCAAATTAATTGTTAATCTCATCTAAACTAACTACAAGTTTAAAATTTTGATATTATAATGATTTATGAGCAGTCATAATAAAGAGATACAATATGATATCACTTATAATGTTCTTAAATAGTTTTATAATATTTTCAATATCTCAACAAAAATATTATAATATTATTAAATAAACACTATAAGTGAGCTGCCAAATTAAATCAATATCATTTAATAATTTAAATAGGTATTTATTATAATTTAAGGAATAAAAATTAGTATGTTACAGTGATTTGATCACCACAATAAAAATATTGTAAAGTCTACTTTAAAACATTATAAATGACTCATATAAACTCCTAACCTATCTAAACCAATTACAAACCAAAAAAATTAATATCATAATGGTGTATGAGAAACGACAACCAAATAAGCAAAATATAATTTTATTTATAAGATTTTTTAATAACTTATAATATTTTCAGTACCTCAATAAAAAAATTATTATTATTATTAAAAAAATACTATAAGTGAGTCAAATTAAACCAAAACATACTATAAACTATTTGATACATCATACTAGGATTCAAATAGATATTTATAATAATTTAGAAATATATCACCCAAATAAGAATAAAAAATTTATCAGTTATAGTGTTTTGATAACATTTGAAATAGACAACATCACTTGGAAAAATGAAAATGCGAATGCC